AGGAACATGGAACATACTAAGTATTAACATCATGGTCTGGTTTGATTTTCAAGACTTTACTAAAAGTTGTGGATACACTTTGGTGATTTTAAAAGAACACTGAACATACCTTAAAAAATACTACATTCAAGCTACTCTGATTCATCTTCCATCTACAAACTATTTTCTATTTTACCTAAAGTACCAAGTGCAGAATAATTATTTTTTGGAACAATGCTATATAAATCCTGAGGGAAACACTAATAATAGATACGATGCGCTGAATGCTTACGTATGTGATAAGCACATTGCAATATTTTTCCCTAACAATCTGCAATATCTTGTGCTTTGGGGATGAGGAAATTGAGAGGTTAATTAGCTTATCCAAGATCACATAGCTACAAAGTGGCTGAGATCAGGGATTTGAATCCAGATCAATTTAACTCTAAATCCATGCTCTTTCATCACATCACTCTACCCCAAGGAGGTGAGTTTTCTGATCCCAAGCTCCGACTTTAAAGTCTTAAGAGCTCCATTGATTGTTTTGGGCAGTGGGGGAGATCCTGTTAGAACAACTCGTGATGGTTAATTTTATGTGTCAACTTGACTGGGCCACGAGATGCCCAGATATTTGGTCCAACATTACTCTGAGTGTATTTGTGAGGGTGTTCTTGGATGATATTAACATTTGAATTGGGAGACTGAGTAAAGCAGATTGCCCTCCCTAATGCGGGTAGGCCTCATCTAAATAATTGAAGGCCTGAATAGAACCAAAAGGCTGACTGCCTGTGAATAAAAAGGAACTTCCATCTGCCTGACTGTCTTTGAGCTGGGACATTGGTCTTCTCTGCTTTTGAACTTGGACTTGGACTAGAACTTACTCCATTGGCTTTCCTGGTTCTCAGGCCTTTGAAATTGAACTAGAACTATACCACCAGCTCTCCTGGGTCTCAGCTTGCAGACTGCAGATCTTGGGAGGCCTCAGCATCCATAATGACATGAGCCCATTCCTTATTATAAATATCTGAATATATATATATATATATATATATATATATATATATATATATTCAGTTGAACCTTGAACAACACAAATTTGGACTGTGCAGGTCCACTTATAAGATACATGGATTTTTTCAATAAATATAGTGCCTGTATTTTCATTTTACAGATCTTTACATTAACAAAGTGTGGAGGAAAATTTGTGTTCGATTAGAGAGCACAATATGTGGAATCAATAGAACTAAGGTTTGAGTCCTGATTTTATTCAAACTGTTTCAGCTTCCTGTCCTTGGGTGTCACTGATCAATTCCTTGTTTTTGAGGAAGAGATAGCAGTACACAGATTTTTGATTGGGGGGGGCGGGGGTTGGTACTCCTAACTGCCCCGCATTGTTCAAGGGTCAGCTGCATATGTGTGTGTGTGTGTGTGTGTGTGTGTGTGTGTGTGTGTGTGTACATACATATATACCTATCTCCTATTCGTTTTGTTTCTCTGGAGGACTCAGACTAATACACAACTCTTCTCATCATATATTCTGAGGTCAGCCAGTTGGCCAGCTGTTATTTAAGTTTCATTTGGTCCATCTCCAAGCCTCTGACACATTCATCTCTGGTAATATTCTGGAAATTCCCACTACACTTCCCTGATGGCAAAATTCACACCCACTTACCCTTGATGTTACTGAGATTTTCAGGAGATAAAAGTGACTCACCATCCAAAATGAACTAAAACCTTCTATATTTTAAATTAAATTTTTAAACATAAAATTTATTTTTTAACAGGTCAAGTTCTTTGGTTCAAAGTAGAAATTTATTTTATATTGAAGTTTGCATATTCAGTTCAACATTTTTTTTTTTGGCTGCATTGGGTCTTTGTTGCTGTGTGCGGGCTTTCTCTAGCTGCGGCGAGCGGGGTCTACTTTTCGTTGCAGTGCGCGGGCTTCTCACTGCAGTGGCTTCTCTTGTTGCGGAGCTTGCGCTCTAGGCACGCAGGCTTCAGTAGTTGTGGCTCGCAGGCTCTAGAGCGCAGGCTCATTAGTCTTGGTGCACGGGCTTAGTTGCTCCGCTGCATGTGGGATCTTCCTGGACCAGGGCTCGAACCCGTGTCCCCTGCACTGGCAGGTGGATTCTCAACCACTGTGCCACCAGGGAAAGCCCCTCAACATTCTTTTTTTTTTTTTGCGATACGCGGGCCTCTCACTGTTGTGGCCTCTCCCGTTGCGGAGCACAGGCTCCGGACGCACAGGCCCAGCGGCCATGGCTCACGGGCCCAGCCGCTCCGCGGCATGTGGGATCTTCCCAGACCGAGGCACAAACCCGCGTCCCCTGCATCGGCAGGCGGACTCAACCACTGCGCCACCAGGGAAGCCCTCAACATTCTTAATAGATAAAATATACTGCCTAAACTACTTCAAGTATATCTCAAGCCGTATGAAACTCATCTTTGAGTCAGAAAGGGGGACATTAAAAACTTGAAATGCATAAAAATCAAAATGGATAATTCGGGCTTCCCTGGTGGCGCAGTGGTTGAGAGTCCGCCTGCCGATGCAGGGGACACGGG